CGTAATAAGAATCTGTGCCGGTCTTCCAACACGGCTTAGTGATGGAATTTTGGATACGCTTGTCTTTCTTTCTACTTGATGCTTCTTTTTCTTTGCTTCTTTTTCCTGGAAAACATTCAAAACTCGTGAAAAAATATGGAAATTTTTAAAAAACGATAGCAAGGAGAGAAAAAGGAGAGGTTAGACGAAGATGAGAAGCAGTGATTTCATGAATGCAGTTCTCATTTCGATTAGTTAGGCGGCATTCATATAAAGCACTTTACCCGGGACAGGCCTACGCACCCCATTTGTAAAATGGAGAGTTGCTAAGATATTAAACTAGGGCCGCAAAGGCCAAACAAATTACCACCTCTATGTAAACAAAAACGAGGGATTTAGCGAAAATAGAGGAATAGAAGGATTTCACATGAATGTCATGTGTATGAAGGCATTTTATGGCGCAGTCTGTGTTTCATGCCTTAGCTGTATACACAGACCGAACTGTGCGTGCGGGTTGGAGTGGGAATCATCAGTACAGCCTACTACGCGCCATGTTTTGAATAGTCGTGTAGCTATTTTTGTGTAGGTAGTCGCTATGTTATGGAAATTTGAAAAATAAGTTAAAGGACATGACTTTACCCGTTCCATCTAAGTGACAGTATTCAGAAAATAAATTCCATTTTACTGATGTTACGAGGATCCTACTTATACAGATCCAACACAACTATGCCAGGCTTTTCGGACCTGAATTGCTTAACAAAATTATGCTAACTTTATTCTTCTTTAATGTTTCAGCCATTAATTTCTCCTCTTTTTCTTTCTTCAACCGCTCCTTCTCTTCGCGTTTCTTCTCTTCCTTTTCCTTTCGCGTGTCTTTTTTCTTTCCATCCACGGGTCTAAAGAAAAACCGGAAACTAATTCAACAATTCCGTCAAAAAGATAATGCATAAGTCACTTTCTAAAAAATACCATCATGTTATTTATTTGAAAGGTACGATTTAATTTCGATTCATTAAGTTCGAAAATTTATTTTAAAGAAAGCCGGTCGTTATCATGCAAGTAGCGCCATTTCCGTGCTAAAAGGGTAACAACTCCTCCAATGTGACAGCCAATCCCTCTACGATTCGTTCATTCATTTCGGTGACAGGTTGGTACCGGTAAATCAGAATCGTCATCAGCTTACTTGCACTCAACTCATCGGAAACGAATTTATCGAAAGCCATGCCAGCAGGTGTTTGCTCTTGGCATATGTAACTGCTCCAGCTAATCCACTGATTTCTCATCCCATAAAATTGCCGGGAAAAGTTAGTTTTACATCGCTACATTTCAAAGAAATCCTATTTTTTGAGAGTTCAAAACTCTTAGGGAGTTCAAAATCTTATTTTCCCAGAGTTAATTTACCTATTAAGATCAGCGGTAAAGAACCTGAGAGGCGTAAGAGTATTTTTCAGCTTTAAAAACAGAAATAGTTAGACTGGCATTCCGCGTCACTCGATGTTACTTGACACAAGCAGACAGAGTTATATCATTAGGCCTTTATTGTCTTCACTCTTCGACTCTGTGAAATACGCTCGCTTTCGGAGGTCATCCAAATAGTCAGTTTTTGTATCGAGAGTTCCAACGGATTTTATTTCTTCTGCAGTAAAAACAGACTCATAATAAATTTTGTTCAAAAAAAAATCCCCTGAATTTTATGTTTTGATAAAAAACTAACGCAGTTTCCGTAATTCCGCTTGGTTTCGGCTCGACAATGTTCACTTCAAATGGACTGTCTAAAAACAAAAGCAGT